ACTCAATTCAACTCCTAAAATATTTATTAATAGTAATCTTTCAAGTATGGTGAAGACTGGAAATATAGATTGCCTATATAATTTTTATTAAGCATAGCTGAAGATGTAAACTAAAATTATAAAATTATACTGGGTATTAAATAATATTTTCTTTTTTGGCAGCTTTACTGTTTGGTGGGAAAATTAATCCAGCTCATCCAAAACACATTGGAAGCATCGATCCTAACTGCAATGTTGTTGAAGTTATTAGAGGTAAATTCAGCAGATAAGAACTAGAATCCTGAAAACTTACATGAATATCTGTACTAAGAGCAAATACACATCCTGATACTCATATACCGCTTAGTTCTTTTCTCCTGGAGTAGAAGTTTTATTTAAAGTGTAATGCAATTTGTATCTTTTTCCTATAAAACCCAGCTTCTGTCAGAAAATACAAAATCTCTCTGACAGTGCACAGTACTTGCAATTTTTGTTTTTCTTTTTGGCAAACTGTAAAGGAAAAAAAAAAGTGGGAGGGGGAATTGTAACTTCCTCTGTTTTTATTATAGATGGCTATGAAAGTGCCAAGAGACTTTGTGATTTATATTACATGAGCTCTCCAGAACTTATCCTTGAAGAGCTGAACGGTAAGTGAATGTGGATGAGGCACTCTCCTGAACATCATGATGGCTTCTTCTGTAGTAGCTGGTGGTGGAATGTCCTCTTTCTGCCTTTCGTATAGTTAATGTGTTCTCTTGGATCTACTGTTGTAAATAGTTTGGGTTTTTAAAAATCTGGCAGAAGGCTTTCCCCATTCCTCCCTTTAATTGGAAAACTGAAATCAGTAGAAAAGTTTTTGACACTACAGCTGTTGATGTAACAAATTTTAGCAGCCTCCTTCCCTCTCTAAGATTTCTTGTGTCTTCACCTACACTACTGCATCTCACCCTCTCTGCATTTCTTGTGACACTTAAAAGATTTATACCAAGCATTCCATTCCATCTTCATTATAACCTCCTCAAGGGTTATAGAAAGCAACTATGATGTGCCCTGATCAGTGATGCCAAAGTGGTTTTAAGATTAATTTCTAAAGCAGCAAACAGCATTTGAAAATCTTGAGTGTGACTTTTGATTAACATCAACTTTTCAAAAGATTTCTGTTAAAATTTTCCTTTTTGAAAATTCAACAATACAGATTCACATTTTGAACTACTGAGAGAACGAATAAAAGATACCTCATTTGCTCTTTAATTATTTAGACTCTCTTTTCTCCAGCTAAATCACCAGGACAGCCCATGCAAGTGGTGTATGTGCCATCACACCTCTATCACATGGTTTTTGAACTTTTCAAGGTCTGTGCACTTATCATTACGCAAGTCTTTTGTACATCTTTGTTTACTGAGATTGTATTGGTTTTACCTTTTGAATCAATTCTAGATAGCAGTGTGTTTTTGCAAGTGCAAACCTTGTGCTACTTGCAGGAACATTACTAAATTGTACTGTTTAGACAAACAGTAATTGAATAGAAAATAAACAGCTTTGGAAGATGTATCTCCTTTGCCTAGCCACTGAATACATCTGACACCTTCTGAACAGACAGTTCTTAAAATCTTAAAATAGATGAAGATATTACTTAATAAAGCAAGTGAGAATAAGATACACAATTTTGGGGATATCTTCGAATCTGATAAAATGTGTAATAGGTCCTCCAAAGCTTTCCTCAAGCAGTTCAGTCCTAGACTTTTCTTGATCTTTGTGTCATATTGCATGTACTGTGCATTATAAAGAATTCTACAACAAAAACTCTGTAAGTTTAATTATTCAGATGTTTCCTTTAAAAAAAGTGAATATTTGAAGTCTGTGTATTTTAACAAACTATATAAGTACTGATACTGAATAAACCAAAAATATAAAAAAAATTATTCTAAACCAATATACATTTTTTTCTGCTTCTGAAAATAGGTGATAAAAATAACTCCTAAAATGATGTTTTAAGGTAATATGCAAAGTCAATTAGGATTTAAGTTGTACTTGAAAATTGCAGAATGCAATGAGAGCCACCATGGAACATAATGCTGATCGATGCATTTATCCTGCAATTCACGTACACGTCACGTTGGGAAATGAGGATTTAACTGTGAAGGTACCCACTTTTTTTTTTATTACTTTGAAGATTATTTTGATCAGGGTTTTTTTCCCTGCCACAGGCAGCATATTACTAACTGTAGTGGGTGATGTGGTTCTGTCAATAGATGGAACGTGATTATGTATGTAAGTAAAAAGACCATTATGGCATTTCACATGGTGCATTAGTAGGAAGTTCATGACCACGTTGCACAGTCACACTGAAGGCTCTGCAACAGCATCCTGTGCTTTTGTCATGCCATGTTTTGCCTAGCTTGTAAGCAACCATGACTAAAAATGAAGGAGCATCTTTATACAATTTTAACTAAGCATTTTTTAAGTGACAATGACAGAGCTATACAGGTGTGAAACAACTGAAAAACAAACAAAAAAAATTGTATATTCCACACAAACCTCCTTAAGTACAGTTTGAAGTGTCTTCTTTTTCTGTACAATATTCATGTTGGATTTCAAATACCAACTGCAAGCATTGGGTTTTTCATAGGTCTTTAACTAAACTGTAGTAAAACAACTCCTTTGATTTACTCCTTCAGTAACAGGTTTTAGTAAACTATATTCAACTGGCAGTATTCCTGAGGAATAAAGATTAAAAATACAGAGAACCTGGTATTTTGTAAATAATATAGATGCTGACCTCAGACAAAAGATAAAAGCCATGCACAATTTAAGTAGAATATTGTTGCTTTCAAGAGAATATGAATGATGCTTACAGTAGTATTTTGTTTAGTGGTTTGGATAAGGGATGAAAGGGAGGGATTGATCTCCCTCTGGTCATTGTTGGAGATGAGAATTAAAGAAGACCTGTAACTTAACAGGGACAACTTCATATTATGTTTTACCTGAACTTTCTCAGGTTTTTTATTGTTTGAGAAAAGCTGTCTTTTATAAAATTGTATTCAGGGACATAACACTACATGCTCCTTCTTGTTCCAGATGAGTGATCGTGGTGGTGGTGTTCCTATGAGGAAAATTGACAGACTGTTCAACTACATGTATTCAACAGCACCACGTCCTCGTGTTGAGACTTCACGAGCTACACCTTTGGTATGCAAATCTTTCATATCTTGGCATCTTGGCTATGTTTAATGGTCACAAAAGAAACCACTTAGCCAAAGCTATGAAGTACTGATTTTATAGATACAATGAGTATTGCTGTTTGAATGTTAGAGCTTAATTCGAGTATTTTTCTGAAAATAACTGGAAAATTGCATAAAATACTAAAAATTATTCAAGATTCTGTTTTCCTCTACTACATCTAAAGATCAGCTACCTCAAGCAGAACACTTAGCTATGCTGCACGTACTGTAATGAGGACAGAACACTGAATTCTTTTTGTAGCCACTGAATGAACTGAAAAATAATTATAGCAATGACTTTGGGTCAAGGCCATAGTTTATTTGCACTGTGAGGTCAATTGTACCATCTCCCAGCAAGGATGAAGGAGCACAGATGTGACAGGCCATATGAAGAATTTACTTTGGTCTCATGTGAGTGTAATAGATGCACAAGAAATAAAGCCTAAGCTCCCAGTCAGAATCTCTGAACAGCTTTCCTGTATTTATTCTCCCACATTGCATCAGTGATCAGTGTTCTGCACATAGATGAGTCTGCAACTCATTAAACACTAGATCTTTACAGAGAAGTGTTGTGTATGCTCATTGAGAGATCACCTCTAAAATTTAGTAAGTGAAAACAAATTATGCCCAACACTTCAGGGCTATATCGTGCTACTGCAGTCAGGGCTTGATAGAATTTTAGTATAAGCTACAAATTCAGAGACATTTTGTCTTGAACCTTTTTTATATATACTGCTGATGAAATGTATCTGACTTAAGTCCTTGGTGTTCTTAAGATTAGTAGCTCCATGAGACATAAGTCAGACACAGTACAGTTTTCTCTAATGGTATCTCTTCTTCAAAAAGCTCCCACAATACAGGAAATGTTAACTACCAGCCCTGCCTGACAAAGGAATAAAACAGTTTTCTCATAATCACAATCATCCATGCATTCTTCTGGTTTTGGGATGTATAATAGTTCTGAGGGGCCATAATAATTAACATATAAACTCCTCTTACTGTCAAACATCATGCTTAGTTTGTTTACCTGTTAAGTTAAAGCAGAAAACAGCATTGATTGATGCAATTAATGGAAATATACCTTTTTTCCTGGATCAGGCTGGATTTGGTTATGGCTTACCCATATCACGTCTGTATGCACAGTACTTCCAAGGAGACCTGAAACTCTATTCCTTAGAGGGCTATGGGACAGATGCAGTTATTTACATCAAGGTATGATGTAACACTTTACCATTTACATTTATCAGCAACTGTAATCTAAACTGCTAATGGAACTCCTTGTTCTGTTACTATAACTTCAGTTAAAAAGAATCATCAGTTACAGTCTTCTCTCCTTACAGGCCTTATCAACAGAATCAATTGAAAGACTCCCTGTGTATAACAAAGCAGCCTGGAAGCATTATAAAGCAAACCATGAAGCAGATGATTGGTGTGTGCCAAGCAGTGAGCCAAAGGACATGACCACTTTTCGCAGCATGTAGCTTTTTCCTTGGCAGCTCATAAGAAGTAGGTTTGTCTGTAAAGGCAATTTAAAAGACCTGATTTATACCAAGATGGTGACCAAGTTTGATATGTGAAAGTAATTTTAAGTGGAGTAACAGAAGGTGTAGTGTAATAGTCTTTTCTGAAATTAAAAAACCAACAGCCACCAAAACTCCCAAACTTGTACATACTTTTAAATTTTAAGAACGTCACAATTTGTTTCATTTTCTGATTTTGGTTACTTTAAGAGCTAAGTCAAGGGAGCAATATTTTGGGTTTTATAGGGATCAGTGCAATCTCTAGCACATCTGGTATTAATTCATATAATTACAAAACTGTTTTAATGGAAAAACTATTGAAAAAGCTCACTGGAGCATTTTTCCATTATACAGTATTACAGATTAATGAGAAACTCGTGTAAGAAATATCGAGGAGCTTATTGCTATACCTTTGCACCCGTATGGCATTTGCTGTTCTTTTATCTTCAGCATGCTGAAGCCTAATTTAGCAAAGTAAGATATGTTGCCAGCACACCTTGCCTACATCAAGGGTTTTTTCACCCAGAGAAATCACGCTTACCTCTGTAGGGATAAAAAATAAATAAATTTTAGCTGCAACTACTGGTATAATGTATCTCAGGTATGGAGCATCGGTCGAATTTCTTTTTTTGTAATGTGAATATATAATACATGTGAAAAGCTTATCTTTCCCTGATTATTGTGAATTAACAACTAATGCTGGCTTGTGTACAGTACGTTGTCTTGCATTTGCCTGTGTTTCTGTAGGTCCTACCAAAACGCAGCATCAACGTTCTAGTCCTCGTAAGTTCTCAGACTTGAAATTGTCAGGTTACAGCTGTAAAAGGAAACTATTTTAATAAACAGATTTTTTAAAATTTGCCCTTCATAGGGCATCTCTGTTACTTTGACAGTATAAGCTATCTTCTCAGGAGTATTTAAAAAAAAGTGGAATTAACAGGTTTTGAAAATACCTTTGTATTTGTGATGTGCTTCTGGTCTCATTTTTGTAGTAACTGGAAGTCACACTGTAACTTAAACATGGTGAGCAGAATGTGTATCAGTCAAACCGTCAAAACATACTGGGGAAGATAGAGAGGGGACTGAATATTACATTTCAGGTACAACCTCCTCCTTTTAAGAAAGGATTCAACTTTTTTTAATGCCTACTGTGCCAACTTTGTTCAAATCATACACATGAATGTTGCACCTCGATCCCTGTAATTCCTGAATGTTTTAAGAGTGATGCAGTTAACGCCACTGAGAACTAATCCTTTTCTCAGTTAATTAGCTGCATGTAATTCTGTGATTTTTGTTCTGCAGTAGACATGCATAATCCCTCTCAGAAAGAATAAGCCTAAATTTTGCAAGTTTACTATCTCAGAAGGTGAGATACCGCAAACAAAGTGCATAGCTGGTACATCAGAAATTGTTCTAGCTGTAGCTGAGCCAGATTGGAGATTTCCACCTGCTATCTCCCTAGCTGAGTTCTGCAAAACAGTGAAATAAATGGTTTTATACCCTGGTCAAGCTAATGTAGAGCACTTTATCTGGAGTGAATTACAGACTGCTCTATATACACAGTCTGAGGGAGGACTATTCTAGCTTAATTGACACCACAACAGTAGCGTTACCTGCTCCACTCAAGCTTGTGGGCATCTTGAGGCCCCTGCTTTTCTTTCTTACAAGGATGTTAGATGGTGACTGGCACACCTTTTAATCTGCTTGGCTACAAGTGAGGAGAATCTAGAGCTGTTCTCTTCTTTGGCCCTGCAAGAGGATGTACGTGAGAAATGCCACACATGGTAAAATGGGGCCTGGAGGGGACACTTGCAGCTACTGCTTTTGCTAAACTAAAGCTGAAAGTTACAGCAAGGACTTTTAAAAACTCAGATTTGAAGCTGAGTATTCTTGCTTTTATGCTAAGTTTTACATCTTTTAATTAATTCAGTTGAACTGATTTTAGTAATAGCTGAGAACTGCAAGAGATGTTTCTGAAGAAAAGCTAACAGTTTGTTTTCTATAAAGTCTATTAAATATTTCAGATATTATTGAAATAAAGCCTCTGAGTTAGCTCTCAACTAACTACCAACTGTATTCTGATTATTAGAAACTTGCTGTGTAATTATATTTGTATTTATCTCTTCACCTGACACCCCAAATGACTGTGGTGAAAACACAAATGTGTAGTACTTTGGTTTACAATGTTTAACCCTACTTACAAGCATGGTCTTTGACAACTTTTGGTTTAAGCAGAAGTTCAGAAGACAACTTTCATGTTTAGTATTTCCATTACTATACTGAAGTAATTGCTAGCACATTGGTTAAGTTGAACTGAATCACTGTAGAAAATTAGTATACTAGCTCAGCTATCAAAATGCTGAGATTAATAGTTTTGTATGCAAATGGACTCAGTCTTGCACTGTATAATTAATCTTGGTTTGTGTTAATTTTTTTGAAAGAATCACTACATTTATTCATTAAAACTGTTGTAAAAATTAAACTCTGTTGGGTGATTATGTAGCTTGGTACTAAGCTCGTTCCATGCAGCCTTCTTGTTCCACATCTGACAGATGTTAAATGCGGTGGTCTGTGATGACCAATGTTCTTATGCTCAGGTGCCAGGTGAGTTTATCATCCCTGCCATGGCCCCTGTTTAACTACAACAGCTCTGAAACCATTATTTCCACTAGTCTCCTTCATGGGACCACTCTTCACAGGGTGCAACAGTAGGCTCAAAGGAAAAAAGGTAATACATGGTTGCATCAATATTCTGTGTTCTATCTGAAAGCACTCGACCTTCTTGACTGATTTAATTGAAGGGTGGTTTTACATGTGTGATCCTGAGCTTTTGATGATTCTGTACTTCTAATTCCTTTCTCTTTTACCAGTAGGGCAGCATTCCTCTCTGGCTCAAGGTCTGTAAGTCTGCCATACAACTCAAAGCTACTGAAAACAAAGTAAAACAAAGTAAATAAGTTAATTGACCAAAGAGTAGTTTCTTAATGCATCAAACTGAAATATAACCTCTTTGAAAAAGTAATTATTACTGAGATTTTCAAACTTTATTTTGGAAATGCCTAGAGTGTGCAGAAGCATTTCCATACAGTCATTTTGCTGAAATTCTTAGACATTTATACAAAAAAAAAAAAAAAGAATGTGAAACACCAATAATGAAGTTCATTCATTTAATTAAAATGAAAAACAGTCCACAGATTTAAAGGAGAACTTGGTCCACAGAAACAAACTATGTAAGTTTTGTTCTAGTCCCTTCTAGGGTGGAACTGATATTTAAACTAGTCTATGTTTCTGGAATAATCTAATTTTAGGAAGCGCTCTTTGTAGTATCTCTAGAAAATAGTATGTAAATATACAAAACACCAATTCATGTTTAAGCTATTTTGAGAATCAAATCCTCCTTTAAAGAGAAAAAATCTGTAGTCTACAATTGAACATTTAAATACAAGGCAAAAACCCAGTGTGTCAGTGATAATTTTTCCTACAATTCTTCCCTCAGTATTTTAAGTTTGAAAAACAGTATTGTTTAAAATTAGCAAATATATAAATTTGGTCCGCAAAAATCTTGTAGCAGGTAGAAAAGAGAAATACATGTATTGCAAATTGATCTTATTCATAGCATAAATCTATAAAACTATGTATTATTTAGGAAAAATAGGTTAAAAATGATCTTATTTATAGGTTTAAACCTTGTCCCAACACCATACGGGTAGCGTACAGAAAATTTAATATTATGCTTAGGATATGTAGTTTGTGAAAACTACTTAGTATTTCTTGTTATTTTCTCAGTAAATTGCAACACAGAATTCAAAACCAATGTACTACTAAAGTGAACTTTGAATGAAGTCCCAGAAATACAAGAATTTAAACAAAATAATCCATAAATTTGAAATACATGCTTTCTTTTTAAATTAATATGACATTACCATTTTCTTAAACTTAATTTTTACTATACATCTTTAGTGGCAACAGATAACAGACTGTCACAGACTGAATTTGTTGGCAGGATTTTTCTATTGTCCCTCTATCAGATTCAACTCTATCAAATGCTAGTTGACTACTATTGGAATGATTTTAATACAGTATTCTACTTTCCACAAACATCAATTTCAATGAAAAGGGCATAAGAGGTCTTAGAAGCAGAAATGTTACTTAAGGCAGAAAGTTAAATTATTGTCTATTAGTACAGGCAGAGTCAACTAGGAATAAAAATACTGAAGACATTATTTCATTTTATTGGGCTGTAATGGGGAGGGACCACAATTAAAAAGTAAAAAACCACCTACCATATTAAACTGTTGCACTTTCCCTCCTCCCTCAATTGTACAATTATATACAAATCCGCTGAACTACGTCAAGATTAGGCAAGTCTGCACTAAAATAAAATGGTCATTTTAGCAGCTTGATTCAAGAGTGGCCACCACTCTGCCAGTCTTGCGAACTTCTTTCTCCTTCTTTTGAACCTTTTCCTTCTGCTTTTCCAGTTTTTCCTGTGTTTTTCTAATATCCTTAATTTTTTTCTTTATTGTTGATCTGTCATTTTGACTGGAAACTCCCAAAGCCTTTGGAGGGGGAAACAAAACAAAACCTCATCAGTAATTTTTTCCAGTGGTACTGTCCACAGTGCTTGTGCATGAACAATTTAAGAAAGTGTAATTGCTGCAAGACAGTCTGTTTATTTGAAAATAATGACTCAGGCTTCAAAAGCATTGTAAATAATCATCTGAGTAACAAGGTAAGTAAAGAGACTAGGGCCGACTCTTCAGTTGTGAAATAACAGTTTTGCATTTTACAAACATGTAGATCCCTGAGAATTTCCAGAAAATACCATAGCAAGTAGAAGTCTCAAAATACAAGAGGAATTTATATTCAGTAACTACTCTTTAATTTCAATATTAAGGATTTTAAAGTGTGTTATTAGGAAGTGATTCAGTAAGCAGCCAGTACACTTCAATGTTCGATCAGGAGGTGGCAGCAGCTGATTCCACGTTCCTGAATGCTCTCACACTCCGTCAACCCGAATGGCATTCGGTGCACACTGACCTTTAGGCTTCAACACCAAAAGTTCCCCAAATAAAGACAGTCATTTAACAGGCCAGTCACTGGTATTTCTTCTGAGTCCAGGAAATTTTACAAAATATGGGACATTCAGTGTTGCACATCTATTTAAAGTGCAGGTATGTTTTGGAGACTAAGTTAGATGCATTTTTCCCCCTAAACCCCTCAAATTCTACTTTTGGTTATTAATAATAATGTCCCTTAAGCCAGAATAGACCAATGAACCTCTCTTAGTCACACATCCTGCTTGTCCAAAATGCAGTCTGATAATCTAACAAGACAGAAAAACCAAAGAGTTTACTAGCACTATAAGAAGTACATATTACCATGCAGCTTTCAGATGTGAAATAGCAAGAAAAGGCTCAAAAGATTTAGAATATATATTTTCAGCAGGAGTAAAAACCTGAAAAATTTAAAAGATCACTGGATAGGATTTTAGCCTTCCCTTTTGAAGAGGATATGTGGAAGAAACAGATTTCTAAAACAGGATCCTGCAATTCTATGCATTTGAATTGGCCGGATCGTATTTTGATATGACCTTATGTTGAGATGGATGACAGATGAATCAAGACCCTTTGGACAGTTATGCCTAATTTCACTTCCTCAAGATGCAAACGAGGAAACAATATTTGTTATTTTTCTGATTATAAACAGCTTGTCTTTAATTCTACAATTACTAATTACCATCTAACTGTATAGTCTTGTATAGTCCAAGTATTTCAAAAGCAAGTAACTCCAAATAAATAACAAGAGCAAGTAAGTCTAACTCCCTTAAAAAGCCATGAAAACAAGAAAATACTTTGTGTTTAAAACTATGTCTGAATAAGCAGTGGAACTTATGTGGTTACAAATATATCCTGGTATATTCACTTACCTTTAACTTCTCGCTGTCGAGCTGCATTAATTGCTGTCCATCTACATTCATAGCTGTGAACTCTGTAATATACTGCTCCATGTTCATTCCCATTAACCAGTGGCATACTTGCTGGGTGGTCCATTCAGAAATAGGTCTACTGTGCCATTGATTTTGCTTTCCTGTTGTTGCAAATTCGTCATCTAATGCCTAACCAATTGAGAAAAGTCACTATGAGCAATGTTTTACTTGACTATATGTTGAATTCCAGTTGCTAGTTGAGTTTGATTAACAAAATGCATTTTTAAACATACTCTATTCCAGAAGGACTTAAGTTCTTGAGATCAGTTTACAGTCAGTTTGCCTAGGAGTTTATTATAAACAAAAAGACTACAGCATTCAACACAAAGTCAGTCAGAAATAGACAACATAAATGTTTTTCTTTAAGAAATTATATAGCAAAACATTAGCTTAAGTTGGATGTATCCTAACAGTGAACACACTGCTCACTTAGTTGGTTAAAGGAGCTCAATCCTAATGTTAGATGGTACCTTGCACAGCATGAAGAATCATCAAGTAGCACTTCAACTCTATTATTCGTTATTGTTAAGTGACGGAAGTCCAGTAGTCAGTAAATCTGGTGACTGTTCCAGGCATAGTTTTACTACATTTCTAAAAGAGAGGACTGTTCATTCTTTCAACTAATGCTATCACATCAACATTTTAAAGGGTCTAGTGGAAAATGACCATTTCAGAAACACAAGCGCTTGTAGCCTTCCACTGAAAATACACTGTGCCAGCTCACGGAGCTTTTGAAGCATACTGCTTCAGTTTGCTTCTGAGGGGAAAAGGTACTGCTATTTGTCCTGAAGCACTACTACATCACAAAAGAAAATCTACTTAAAACAGAGCTCAATGTCTTTACAGAAGAAATTTGAGTGCGGTACTTGAATCAGTAACATCAGTTACCTAAAGTTTTATTAACTATCCAAAATGATCCCTCACTAGCTCGTGATTGAGTATAGGCTGCATTAGACTTGCATATGCTCCACTAGGCAGCTTCCATGATTGATCAAAGATATTTGCAAAACAGCAGAAAGTACTCCCCCCTTTCCCAGGGAGCCTTACACATCATTTGTAAACAGAAAACCTGGAAATAAGCAACTTCTAGTCATGGATTTGAGACGTGACCCTGTAAGTCTCAGGTGAACAACTACAGCTCCCAGCCACAAGGATCTCACAAAATCCAGCTTATTTGATGGAATATTTGGGGGATTTGATTGAATGTAACAAAATAATTCAGGTGACTGCAAGTCAAAGATGGTGAGATGCAGGCCTGTGATGTGACCTGATCATACAGTACACTGGATCTGAGTGCTCAGCATGGCAGGCACCGGGAGTCTGAGGTGAAACAAAATTTTAAAATTTCTTATGTATTGAAGGATCACATGTAATCAGAAATGGTTCTGCTTCCCCTGGTCTGTGAAACAGAGGACAGTGGTTACATGAGGAGACAGTGCAGATAAATAGGAACGAATCTGTAGAGCAGAACATTTTGTGCTGAGGTTCTAAAATCTGTACTACAAGCATTTCAAAGCATTTTCACTTCCAAACAGCTATAGTCTGGTCACACCAACTTAATGGTCATTAGCAGCTGGAATGTAGCAGGACCACTGCTGGAGCACATCTGATTTAATTTCCAAGGTAAATCAAAGTAAGGCAAGTGGGAACAATCAGGAGATTTATTTTTAAAAAATGAACTCCTTATCCAAATCAAAATCCTTATGTAGACATAACAAGTGTGAACACATCTACCTTCCTGATGTGCAAAAGAAAAATAACAATTTACATAAAATAACAGCAAATGGCTCTAGAAGAGGTTTTGCTTGAAGTGCTCAGTACAGCATCTGTATCAAGACAACTGGGGCACTGTAGTTTCCTATCCAAGCTATCAAGCTTGAGATACTTCATACAGAGAAGATTAATTTGATAAATTACCAAGGGAATTTCAAAATGCCAATTGATTTTAAATAATTTCAGATAATAGTGCTCCTTAACCTGATAATGTAATGCAAAATATATATTGGTAACTTTGTCTTACACTCACACATGTTCATGAATAATACATTAAAAGGGGGAAATACTTTACATTTGAAGTTTGACCTGTATCTCAGAGTCACGTGTGGTCTATCAGCTGCAAGAACTACTAAAACATATATATTGCCATACATATTTTTTCTAATATATATCTACTTCTATTCCTTGGAGGGGAATGTGCATGTATCTAAATATCCCCTTTCCATGGAGAAATGTGTAAAATGTTATATTCCAGTTGGAACTCACTCTCTAGTTTTATTGAATCTGTGCAAGCCATGCAAAAACTTTGCTTCTGTAATTTTAGAGTGTAAGTACTTGAGGAAGGTGTACTCCTGTCAAAAAAAAGAGGCACAGATTCATTCATTTCACTGAAGGAACACAGTCCCCTGACAGAATCCTGGGGGGTCTCTGCATCAGTTCCTCCAAGCTGTGTGGATTAGAGCAGGTAACAGACTGGAGTCCTCCAGGCTGAGCTACTAATTGCAATATAGGGTTTCAGCATCAGCAGTTGCTAACAAATTCCTTCTACTTCATATTGGTAAAGATAGACCCCTAAAACCAGAAGTTGTTGTAGCAATACCTGAATCTGTGTTAAAACACCTAGACATCATCTCCTCTCAGAAAGACATTTAATCCTGTATAATTTGAATTTTTCATTACTGCACAAGGGAAAAGCACACCTAAATACTTTTCAGAATATGAACAGGTAAGTGAAAACTGTAGAAGGGTAAGATGAAGAACACACACTTCCAAGTAATGCTTATTGCTCATTAAATAACACCTCTACATCATTTTATCCCAAATGTTCATTCAGAGGCACAAGGAACATGCCAAGCTGTTTGTACATCAAAGTTACGGTCCCCAAAACAGCCAGCATGCACAGAAGAAATCAGCTGCAAATGCAGAAAGCAGAACTAAAACTACTTATAAGGTAAGGAAGCATGAGAAAGCCATGTGCTCCCACATAAAAACACAGGTGATTCAGAAAACAAGTACAGAAATACTGAAGCTCTGAAGACAATACAAAGCACAAGAAAACACCACTGCTGCCACACCATTTAACATATTAAGAACTTTAGAAGGATTACCAGCTAGCTTGCTAGCCATCTGTGAGGGAAGTGCCTCTGCTGTAACTAGCTGGCTGCTAACGACATAACTCTCAGCAGGCAGTCACTTCCCCAAACTGCCTGTGAGCACCTGCCCAGCAAATGCAGGCTGTTCAGTGCTGCCCTTGTTTACATCTCTAAGAGGTGCTTCCATCTCTTGTTTCCTAACAATTCCACGATTTATAAGGCAGCATGCAGTGGTGCACCCCTCTGCAAGCAGGGGTTGTTACACTGGATAGCATGATTCCTGATGGATAATTATGAACCCATTCAAACAACAACCATCATGTAGAAATTCTACTTGTGAAGAGCTTAAGTTAAGGATCCTGTCCAATATCTTTACTGATGATCTGGATGAGGGGATTGAGTGTACCCTCAGTAAATTTGCAGACAACACCAAGTTAGGTTGGAGTGTTGATCTGCTGGAGGGTAGGATAAGGCCTTGGAGAGGGACCTGGACAGCTTGGATCTATGGACTGAGACCAACAGCATGAGTTTCAACAAGACCAAGTGCCAGATCCTACACTCTGGCCACAATAACCCCATGCAGTGCTACAGGCTGGGGGCAGAATAGCTGGAAAGCAGCCCAGTGGAAAAGGACCTGCGGGTGCTGCTCAGCTGCCACCTGAACATGAGCCAGCCTGTGCCCAGGTGGCCACGAGGGCCAAGGGCATCCTGGCCTGTATCAGCAATAGTGTGGCCCGCAGGACCAGGGCAGCACTTGTCCCCTGTACTCAGCACTGGTGAGGACACACTTTGAGTTCTGTGTCCAGTTCTGGGCCCTCAATTCAGGAAGGACATTGAGGTGCTGGAGCAAGTCCAGAGAAGTCCGAAGCTAGTGAAGGGTCTGAAGAGCTGAGGGAGCTGGGGTTGTTCAGCCTGGAGAAGAGGAGGCTCAGGGGTGACCTAATGACTCTCTACAAATTAATCCACTGCTGCAACCTGTAAACAAGTTATATGATTTTTGACACTTCAGATTTTTAATTTAGTGAATTTATATTTATAACACTGTTTGTAAGACTGTTCTGACTTTCTACATATTACTGGAATATTAAGGTTTTCACCAGAGCCTGATTTAAGACAGCTAATAAAACCCCCCTGACATTCATGAACCACCAGTTTGGCAAGTCCTCTAACTCATTTCCGTAAAATCACTGTGTTCAGCTTTTAATGAGTTTAGAAATTAAATCCTTTAGTTTAGGAAAAGATGCCCATCAGTCAATCATCAAATGAGACAATATCTCAGAATGTTACCCATGTGTTTCAGCTGTAGCCAATGGAGTTAGCTGTCCAGGGGAATGAACACTGATTTTCAGATATCTGATTTCTACCTATATATCAAAACTACCAAATTCTGCCTTTTTTTGGTTGTTTCTTTTTTTCATTTTTTGTTTGTTTGTTTGTTTTTATTGAGATGAAATTTTACAGTAAAATCAACCTGTGCAGAAGTGAAGGTCAAAAATGCTGCAGTTTTTATTCACCCAGGAAGTTGCTTTAAATTAGTGGAAAAGAACAACGTTATATTTAAAATTAAAAACTGCAATTTGATCAGAGAGTTTACTCCAATTTTTATGATATAACTAGAATCAGAACACACAGGCTGATGTCACCCACTAGTCCGTGTCCTTTAGTTCATTAACAGCTTATGATTCTCTATAGTGCTCTTCAACATTCAAATATGGAATAGCCATCTAGTTTCACATTACACATATCTGTTTCTGTTAAACATGCTGTAGTGTGAACAACAACATCAACAAGACACATATACACACTTTGAAACTCACCTCATTTGAAGAGAAGGTTAAAGTGTGTGAACGACCTGACAGATTTGGTTCTGTCACTAACCCTGAAAGTTCACAACTTGGCTTGCTATGGTATGTATCATCTATGACAATTCTACTCTGCAAACAAGTGGAAATAACGTTTTATTAACTCACTCCTCGGAAAAGCAGGTCATAAGGTGACATTCTAGTAATTTTGATTTTTGGTTAAAATAAAAAAGCAGTACAACTCAGTTACCTTTAGAACACACATGAAATGCACTAACTACATAAAGCATCTGACTTGTTTCTGTTAAACTTCTGAATTCAAAAAAACACAGTAACAAATTTAAATCAATATCCCCAATAAGAGCACCTTGTGTGCAGAATTGGTCATAACCTGAAATGGTGTTAAGTACATAAGGAAATACATGTGGTTACTTTTTCAGCAGGCACCCCATGCTTCAGGAGAAGCAATTTAAAATGCATTTGTTGAAATTATTCATGCCGAATTTGTATTAAACTGAAGCCTAAAGTTCCTTTAACAGCTTCAATAAGGGTGGTAAAACACTGTAACAGGTTGCCCAGAGAGGTGGTAGATGCCCCATCCCTGGGAACATTCAAGGTCAAGTTGAACAGACCTCCGAGCAACCTGATCTAGGGGGGTTGATCTAGGTGACCTTTAAAGGTCCCTTCCAACCCAAACTACTCTGTGATTCGGTAATTCAGTTTTGAGGTGGCTGCATTTGAGGCACAGAATCATGTAATCTGAAAATTACTGTACATGAAAAATACTACATAAATGCAAAATATCTTTAGAAGAATTTTTATAGTATATGGACTATATCAAGCTATGTAAAATTTCTTTAAAGTACCAAATAGTGTAAAAATACTACAACAAAACCGAACATTTCAGATGTTAAATAATTACTCAGATGTCTTTAGAAAAACTAGTTTAAATAAACATTAATTATGCAGTTTGACCACCTGAATATATTATTTGCAAAACAGAACACTCTTCTGAAATAAAAGATTGTTACTTTAAAAAAAAAATAGTATTTTATTACTTCACTAAAATAATAAATTTGTCAAAGCAAAATTCAGGTTAGAAATATGACTAAGATACTATCATGTGACTATCACATTGAAAGAATGTAAAATCATACTGAAAGAATGTAAAATCTTCATAGCATTACTGTTTACATTCAGTTATTACACTTAGTCTGTGTTTAAAGGAAGTTTTTTGGATCCTTATGCCTGGTTTAGTATCTAAAAGCAGCAAGATCTGCAACTTAGCCAACCAGTACTGGTACAATCTCAGGCAGGTTACCTGAGCAGCCTGGGACTCAAGCTGAAGACTCTGATAAAACCTGATGCTACACCTGAATACTTCACAGCAATTTGGTAAAAAATCCTTCTGAAGAATAGTAATGTATCTCTTTTCCAGAATATCCTCTAATTTGATTACCTCCATTTGCAACTCAGATTGTGACCTGTATGATATTTTTCTTTAGTGAGTGAAAAATAATTCTGCCAAAAGCACGTATCCTACTTTTGCCTGTCTAAAATTTATTTCTCGGCACTATTCTTTGTTGTCTACAAACAGTAAGAAATCACCATTATTTTCTCTAATTTTCTTTAAGTCTCTAATCAAGTAACTACACTTTTAAGGATGCCATACCACACCCCTATATGCATAAATAACCTGAGATTCTAAATTAAGCTGATCTTAAAGACATTTTTCTTCAGTAAATTATGCTCCCATAAGAGAACTACATTTTTGCCATTATATTTATTGAGTACTTCTGTATTTATGTTCTGATTGCAATTTAACCTGAACTCTCAATTTTCTAGATTATTCTATTTTTGTTATGGGAGCATACACTTGATCTTTGCACTCCCTTATACTCAAAATTAATGATACACATTTCCAGCCTCAAATAAACACACCCCAAAAACCAAGGAAAAAACCCATCACCACCATAACGCAACAAACAAAAAACCTCAAATCACAGCTTGAGTTTTCCTGCTACCTTTGTGTGGTACTGTCCATGACTGAAAAATGGTGTTCTATTTACCATGTAGATTATTTTATTAGTTACATTATATTTTAGGGGCTTCTTTAGTCTTTTAGATGAAAAATTATTACCAGAAATAATAGAATACTTTGTCCATCAACCTATTCTCAAATTAACTTCAACCCAAACTGAAAATCTATTTAGGAGCTTTTATTTTAGCCGCCCTCCGTTCACTCTTTCTACCTTTACAGAGAAAATCAAGAACAATTAAGAAACAAACCAGTTAAAAAATCCAAACCCAGCATTATGATATTTAAGCAAAAAGCTTAGAAAAAACATGAAGAAAACACAGCCAAAAGTAAAAGCATTTGAGCATCGTTGCAATGTCTTCTCCACTTCCTGCTCCTATTCAGTTTTTAGAAGGAGTAATTTCCTTTTAAGGATTTAGAGCCAATTGCAAAGATTTTTGATCCTTGAAGAACATAGAATTTCGACAGAAGAGGTTTTATAGGTATGCTTTCTATGATTTTAGATACTAGAATATAAATACTTTATACCACCCTGCTCTTCCTTGCATCAAAAATGAAACGCTGCGTACAAGCTTACAGAAGCTAAATAGAGTTCTGAAAAAACAGTGAATATGAACAATATTTATGTGTATGTATCAGAGAGTGGCACTAAATGAAGGGGCAGATAATGCAAAGGGACTAATTTAAGGACAGTGTAGTTCAGAAGTTCCATAAGGCTAAAGAGTCTGCAAGTACTCATCATAGGATTTTAATTCCTGTGTTTCTAGATTTCACAAGCAGCAAGAAGTTGACTCATTACATTGTCAAACTGTAATTTTAAAACTAACTTCAGTATCATTTTAAGAAAACAAAAACCTTCTAGGTGCAGTAACTCTTAGAGGCAAATTGTGCAGAAACAGAAACCAGTTAAAATATAATTACATTTCTTACATCATCAATGCTAAAACACAACTACACAAATTATATACAGTGCAAAATACTCATTACAAGTGAGAGACTTTTTATATGACAAAGTTCTCATTTAAGAGTTTCTACTTCTACCTGTTCTTTAAGAAATGCTTTCACATGATCATATGGGATATTACAGACATAAAAGCAGCAAATACTATTGCTACACTTGCTATATATTGCTTTATTTACACATTTGGAGTTAACACCAACAAAAAGAAGTATTCTTTCCTTAAATTCTGAGAAGATGACTTAGTTCCTGCTTTTATATTGTTTTAGTAACAAGACTCACTGCTGAGTGGTCAAGCACATTTCTTTGTCAGCTTTAATGTCTTTTCAAAGCAAAACAAGCCAAAGCCTTGTTACTGTAGTGCAAATGTAATTACCAACTCCAGGTTAAGATCTAGAACGATTAGTCATTCATTCCAAGGAACAGCCACTGTCACGTTACAGACCTCAAACACTGCAAAGTGAAAACAGCCTGACTTTGGAGAGGACAAGTATGATTTTATGATTAATGAATGTATGAGAATCTGTTCTTCAATGGGATCAGCTTTCTGCCATTTTACAAAGCAGGAATATAGCTGGAGACTTGCATAATCTTCCAGCTGCTGTTTTGCAACTGGCACTAAGAAAAAGAGCAGCAAGCAGCAATTACATGCTGCAGCATGAGAAGGAAACAACAAAAAAAACCCCAAACCAGTAGCAAGAAACCAGCTGGAAGGTTTAAGTGATAATCAACTTGGATAAAGTAGACAACAATAAGAAGAAAAGGCTATTATTTCAGGGCAACGAAAGGAAGAGAGCACCCAATCTGGTAAGATCTATACCTTTTTGATGGCCAAAAAGAACTTCTATATATAAAAACCTTAAGAGGTGCTTAAGCACATTACAGGTGCTTATAGTAGAAATGCAGCAGTGGGATTTAGAAAAATTATTTGAATCAGAAAGGAGGAATGAAGAGGGGACGAATGGGTTCTTCAGAATCAATGACTTTGAAAGATAAACCTCTGAATGTTTATCTGGACAGAAAACATCTCTTGATAGCTTTGCTGCAGCCTATTAAGAGATCAACCATGCACTCCTATTTAATCAAAAATTTTATCAAAATATATGCATATACCCTGCAAGATCCTTGGTTATGTACAGAAACACCTTTTGGCCACTGCACGCGTCAACAGAAGCGAACAATGCAGGAGCTGACGCACACTGGGCAATATTCTATAAAGTTCTGTTCTACTTCAGAGATCAAAAAGTTCCTACTCATATTAAGTTCCTGTGTTATAGTAAGGTACTGGATGGTTCTAAACCCACTTTCTGTAATTTTTAAAAACTACATATGATGATAACTTAGTCCTATCACAGGGACTGTAAATTTACAATGAGAAAACAGAAAGTAATTTAAAAAATGTATTAGCCTTTTAATGCAATCAGTATCTGGAAACATGGAAAGCAAACTTATTATCTGTCATCTCTGCAAAACATCAGTGACTCCACGGACTACAACCTGGCAAGTTTCTCTTCTGGATATGCAATTTCTCTCTAATAACAGAAGAAAAGGAAAACATGAAAGGGTGTTTTGCCCATCCAAAGTGAAGAAAAAGTGTGAAACTCAAGAACAAACTTAGCTTATGAGGTTACTCAAATAACTATAATTTTCAATCTAACAAAATCCAAAGGAAACAAGAATGAAGTTAATAAGTTTGTTGGGAATAGTCTTACATTTAGGCTTAGTCTTACCAAACATTTAGACAGTGCACACATTAAACTTTTTACTTTTTAAAGCTATTTCTTTCAAATGGTTTTAAACTATAAAGATGGCAACTTTATGGCTACAGACTGAACTCTGTAGTGTCACTTTTAGGACCTGGTTAAAAGGTTTTAAATTATTAGAACATTATCAGTTACTCAGAAGTAGTTTCTTGGAAGAGACAGTGTTCTATGGACACGCTTCTTGGCTTTCAATACTAAATTTGTTAATGAAAACCAGGATGCTATCCTTTCTCCAACAGTCTGGTATTCCAACCCTACATTCCAGTATGGTAAGAACTGGTTGGCCAACTGCTTGGAAGGCTGACCTCTATTTATGTACGCTTCCCCCAAGTACTAGGCTGGGAAACAGATTTGGCTTTTAAAGCTATGCTTTCCTAAAGCTAGTGTTACTTTTAGTGTTATAAACCAGCGAAAAAACATACCCTGTGATTTTTCCTTGTGTTACTTCAGCCTGAATAGCCACTACTGATGTTTCAACTAAAGAGGAGGGAACAGGAACACTCACACAGTGTCTGCTTGTGAGGGCTGTAAATTCTCAAACTTCTGCAGCAACGTTTGTAAGAGGTGATGTGGTCATGGACTAAGTCATTAGGCTTCCACATACTAACCACTGATGTTTTTTCTTTATCAAGATGCAACATTTAAATATTCAAAGCACAAATCAGTCATCTTTACCTTGGTTCTGTTCTTCTCTTGACCGTGCTCACAACCATCCTGCCCGCTCTGGGTAACGTGCAGGCTGCTACTAGAAACTGGAGGCTCTTTGTGGCTGTCTCCAAACCAAGAGAAAGGCATGCAAGTAGGAGCAGGGGAATCTGAATCTGATGCAGATAGATTGTTGCCAGAGTCATCCAAGAGTTCTCGGGAACCTCTGAGATAAGCAGATTAAATTGTGTTTAAACAACAATAGAAAAACCTCCATCCCATCCCTCAAACACACAACCCCCGCCTTAAAAACAAGAACAAACTAAAAACACTCAATACTTATTTTCAACAGTTTCACAGCACAACTGATACCTGAACTGATATTTACCTTTAAAGATCCATGCAAAATAATGTGAGTTATTTAACATCACAAATTTAAGAACTTTTGCAGTATTTCACACAATTAAAAAATTGCAATATACTAATTTAATTTACTTGTCATTCATCTTTCTAAGCAAAATACAGTTTTTATATATAATTTGCTCTGAAGTTTTCTGTGTATTTTTTCTTATTTAATGAGATTAGAAGCTCCTCTCTACATCATTCATCTTCATATCATTTTATCACTGTTAAACATGAGTGTACTTCAAGATCACAGTAATGACAGTTTTAAACACATTCTTAGGTTACAAATTTTATGAATGCAACACGTATGTACTGAACTAACAAAATAACTACCTGCTATCCAGAGAACCTCTCAGATTTTCTTTTTCTTGCTTCTTACCCTTGCCCCCAGATTTCCGTAATCCCCTGAAGTGAAAAAACACAGACTTCATACAGCATTTGCATTTACACAGTTGCAACATTTTTTAAATCAAGCAAACTAATTTTTACATTGATTTCAAGTTACAAAAAGCAACATTTGCATGCAAAGTAGTTTTTACATTGATTTCAACAGTTACAAAAAGCATCTTGTTACACAAAGCATGATTTTCCAGATTATAAATGCAATTTAAAAAGTTGCCATTCATGTTTTAAGAATGACAGTATCCTTTCAAAGACCACATATAACCAAAACAAAACCAGAAAATGCCCAAAGAAACATAGCATATAGCAGATACAACCAAGAGGAAGAACACAGTTTTATTGCTATATAAGTATTCCTATGCAGTGCAGTGACTTGAGCCAAGTCACTACCTACACTATCTGTGTGTGAAATAAGTTATCATTTTTATATTATATATTATGATGCCATTGTGGCAGTACCAGTTTAAGTCTTCAATGTTAGATGGCTTCAACAAGCTCCAATGTCTCCAAAGGAGCAAGGCTTACTGCAAAATGTAGCAACTCTTTCTCTTAAATCCCCAGAGTTCAGTTACCACACTATTTCCAGACAATATGCAGCTTGCGCTTCTCTTTTACCCCTGTGGGCAACCTCATTTTTTAAATGAAACTCAGAAATCTGCTCATGCCTGCCTCCAAGGAACAGTTCAGTAAGCAGAGACTATAGTCAAAGCTATGTAATGACACCTCTGCTATAGAAGGAATTAAGGCAAGAAAGGTATCTATTTCATAGTATAACACCAGCAGGACATAACATTAGAGTTTAGGCACCAACAATATTTTGGCATAAAACTACACATGTATTTGCAATTTAGTGTATTCAGTGGTGTATTCATAAAAAAACTGAAGAACCCCAAGGAATTCTTTGACAGGAAAAAAGTATAGATAAATAGTCAAAATGTGGTAGAAACATGAAAGGAGCAATACAAATTCAAGATGATCAAGACTCTATCCAGTGATGTTGCTATGAAGTAGCATTACTGGATTTCCTCAACATTTTATTATTTAGATAACATGATATTCTCAAAAGTAACACAGGGCACCATTTTTGTCCGAAGGAACAAGAGTAAAATCTTACCCAAAATCTGGAAATCTCCTTTTGGACTTCCCTGACGATGTTCCTTCATTTGTTTCTACTGTCCTGTCTTCATTTTTCTTTTCTTCTGCTTTCCACAGGGGGGTGAAAAATAAAAACATTATTTTAAAAATACCTGCAAGTTTCAAGTACTAATGACAATGCTTGTGAGATACTAAAACCTGAGTGACCATGTTAAAATTCACATTCTCACATGCAGACACTAGCTGAAAATACTACTGCCATATCAACCTAAGTTATTCTCTGTGACATCTTCCCATCATTCTGGTTGTGCTGTGACACTGAAAAATGGCAACACAACAGTTACTTATGACTGTTCAAAAATACTGCTTTTGATAAACAGAATTATTATATTATAGAATTCTATACTGCCTACAGAAAGATAAAACTTGCCACAGTATTTTGCTTCAATGAATTACAAACAAAAGATAGTTTAAGATACTTTTTTCTAAACCTATCTCCTCCTCTTGCAAAATGTCAACTTCAAAATGCACAAAATAGATAATTAAAACTACATAATCGGTATAAGATGCATGAAAGAAACTAATTTTTAAAGCAACAGTTGAGCAAGTAGAGCATTTAATCATCCTTTATTATGCTTGAAGTATTATAGATGTTCCTTTTGTAATTTTTTCTGGTTCAGTAGTCTAGGCCAGTTACTTCAAACGTGGGCTGTGTATGCAAGCTGCCAGCTCCAGAAAGTGTGCCTAACCAACATGACAGTCAGCACCTGAAGAGCAGACAGATCCTAACAAGCTGAGTTTCTTGGAAATGGTATAGAAATTGTGACAATTCTAAAGAAACAACTGGGACTTCGAAGCTCCTCCAACACTCATATTTTCAAAACTGCATACAACGCCTCTTAGGATCCAATTTTTCACCAAATAAAACATGTTCAATACCAACTTTTCAATAATTAAATAAAATTAGGTGATGAACTTAAGCATCACACTACCACTTCTCAGTGGATTGTAACAGATTACTGCAAGTTCTAAATGCACTTACTTTTAAGTTCTCAGGCTACTTGATGTTCTTTAAATAATTGAAATATGTTTTGTATTGCAAATCAGGTGTTTCATAACTAAGCTGCTTGTGAGAGAGATGCTATCTGCTTTTTGTGAGCCAAAGCAGACTTTAAGTTCTGCCTTCAAGACAACTCCTGACATGAAGTAATGTACACAGATGCCTTCAAGGACCATAAAACCCCAAAATCATGTTTATTAAACAAAACTAAAGACAATTCCCTACCACTTCATCAGCTAATAATAATTCCAGAAACATGTAATGATTATCTCAAAGCTGACATACTGAATTATCAGGATAGTCAAGAGTTTATCCCTTTTTGGTTTTTTTGGTATATCTGATCAGTAGTTTCTGATCAACATCAGAACTTTAGCTGATTAGTTAACCACTCTTTCTAAACATGTAACAATCAATAAATTATTAGCTACAGTTAAACTAGTTATTTTTTCTGTCAACTTAAATACAAAAGCAATAGAATTACTTTTAATATTGACATTTGTTTCCACCTCTATTTCCAGAGGTAATATTTAAGAAAAGAGCTAATTTCTTAAATGCAACACAACAGGTAGGTTAAAATACAGACTGATACATGAATGCATGGGAAGGTAATAGAAAGGATTATTTCAATGAAATAATAGGTAGACATTTAAATATGGTTAGAGAGCAACAATCTAGCAGAAAGTAGCATTTGCGCACAAAGAGCAAGCTCTGTATAGTAATCCTCATCTTTGATGCACTCCATTAATTAGCTCCTCCAGGGGCCAATTTAAAAAAAAAAAAAAAGGTGTTTGCAATGCTTCTGCTACCACAAAAAATGTAGAAAAGAAAGCAAAATCAATATATTTATATATTAGGTACTTGTTTTGATAAATGGTTTGATTTTTTTTTTAAAACTAACAGAATCACAGAATATGCTGAGTTGGAAAGGACGCACAAGGATCACCGAGTCTAACTCCTGGCCCTACACAGAACCATCCCCAAGAGTCACACCATGTGCCTGAGAGCATTGTCCAAATGCTTCTTGAATTCGGGCAAGCTTGATGCTGTGACCACTTCCCTGGGCAGGCTGTTTCAGTGCCCAGCCACCCTCTGGGTGAAGAATCTTTTTCTAATATCCAACCCAAACCTCCCCTGACACAACTTCTGGCCATTCCCTGCGGTCCTGTAACTGGTCACCACAGAGAAAAGATCAATGCCTGCCCCTACTTCCCCTCACAAGGAAGTTGTAACTGCAATGAGGTCTCCCCTCAGTCTCCTCCAACTGAACATACCACGTGCCCTCAGCTGCTCCTCACATGACTTCCCCTCAAGACCCTTCAACACTTTCATTGCCCTCCTTTGGACACTCTCTAATAGCTTAATGTCTTTCTTGTATTGCTGGGTTAGAACTATTTTTAAGACTTTATAGAAACACAAATTGAGGAGAGCATAAAATAAATCCTGTTTCAGGGTATTAAAAGAAGGGTTTTGCTGAGCTATATAGAAAAGACAGCAAGTATCATCTGCCTTTATACATTTGTGCTAGTTGATTACAGAAAATATCAAACTTTTAAAAGATTATATTAGATGCCTTTTCCAATTATTCATAAGAAAAAAAGCCAAGTATTTCCATCAAATAATGCTTAATAGTGACTAGGCTGATTTTAAACCCTTAAGTCTTACCCTTGGCCTCTTTCCCTTTCCCTTTTGCCTCTCTTTGTTTAACATTCTTGAGATACCCTTGAGGAGAACTTGGAGTCATCTCTTCAGGAGGAGGTGAACGAGGAGTGGTGGTGCTATTTTCGTTGCTTGGTTTGTGTACTGGAGAAGAGTGTGTGGAAGCAGAAGGACTTGACTCTAGAGGACTTTCTGTGCTTTCTCTTTTTTCCAGCTTTTCAGTCTTTCGATCTGAGTCATCCAGGCGTGGGAGAGGTAATTTTTCACTTGTTTCTAAGGTCTTGGTTAGGTACATAGTGGAAAGTTCTCTGTTGAGAACAGTATCTTCTGAATCCTCATCCTTCAACAAAGTCAAAAGTCATTTTATAATAAACATGACATATACTCATTTACTGTATGATCTTTTACCAGGACGGAAGGATATGCTATGCTACACAAAGTTGATCAGTTCTGAAAATTTTCTGAATGTACTCGCTTGTGGAGACCATCTTGAAACTCATTTTATAGGCTTTCTGTTATCCACCTTTATATAGATCTTTTTGCACATCAAAAACCATCTTTTTCTAGTCAAGTCAGAAATATTCTGCTACACCTTGGCCATTCCAATTCAATGTAACCACTTTTCAGTCTAACTGAATTAGTTCAATGTTCTCCTTCTATGACAGGCTCTCTCACATACTGACTACATACACCTCAATTCTTCCACTGTTTTCCAGAAACATGATAGAACGTTTTACTGGTATACTTCTTGTGAACTTAAATGATGACTTATGGAGTAATGAAGCATTTCAGAAGTATTTAGTTTTTGAAGAAATCTGATAACTAACTTGTTTCAGATGAAATAATAATAAGATAAATGAGTATATTTCACAACATATCACTGTATCAAAATCTCAGTAAGCAGAATACAACAAGCTTGCATAGTTCTTTGCTAACTTCAAATTAACTGTGCCACAAAAACATGCCAGAGTTCACATATATGGTATGAACCCAAAAAGGGTTTTTTCACTTGATACAGCATAAAAATATAATGCTTTGGCACAGCCTGAATGAAGCATGGACAACACTTAAAATTGCAAATACCGATAAAACTCAACACATATTCAGGCTCCTGTATGCATAATTATCTACCAGTATCAGTACCTGTAGATTTGCAGTCTGTTGTCCAGCCCCAAGAGATTCTTTCAGCTTTGATCGAGAAGGTGGCTGGCGTTTCACTTTCAAAGCAAGCTGAGCTTTTGCTTTGTGGGCACTGGTGTCTAATCTGGGAGTATCCCCAACAAAAGCATCGAAATCTGCAACAAATAGGAACTTCTTTAAAGAACCAAACAAATAAAACAGCACAAACTGGTAGGCAAGTTTACCAACCCACCATCCAGAAAAATATTCAGAATTTAGATCAGAATTATTCTACCTGTTAACCATTACTATATGAAAAAACTCTTTATATTATACTACACTATTTAAACACATTCTCATAGCAATTTCTAGTTAATTTGAAATATACTTCTACTCAACTTCTTCAATTAAAAATATAAAATCCAACAGAATATAATTGTATTATGGCTTGAAAACTGAATTTTATTTTCAAATAGATGAAAATTTGTGCCCTGAGTGTGTTTTCCTATTCTCGTTCTTTAAGACAGAAACTCACATAAGCATTTACCACATATTTTAAAAATATGATTCTTACTTGAGCCTCCATCTGATATTTTATAACTTTCTGGGCACAAAATTAAAAGGAAAAAACCATAGCAAGTTTTGCTGTAAATCATAGTTTAAAATTAATGGGATTTTAACTGACATATCTCAGTGTTTTAGTCCCACTAACATTATTGATTTCACTGACAGAGAATCTGAGGAACAGTTAAAATGGTTGTCTCTCCATCTGTCTCCTCTTTCCCACAACATTTAAGAAATACATTACAACAATACTGAAAATGTTGGGGGAACCTAAACTCAGCTATCCACACTGGCTCAGGTCAAATATTTACCCAGTCACTATGAAATAGCAAACACTTCACTTCTTGTAAGAACAAAAAAACCAATACACATGTAAATCCTCCTAATTTTTGTTATATGCAAATCAAAAATCCTACAACCTACTTACCAGAAAGGAGCATATCTAAAGAATTTATTCTATCTTCTATTGATTTGGTTTCTTTTTCATTTTCTTCTTTTATCTTTGACTGTTCGTTAGGCTGGCCTGGACTTTGACAGCCATCTTCCAATAAACTGCCACGTTCAAAAACATAAGGCATTTTCTCATATACTTTTAATTTAGTTTCAAGTTCTGAAATCTGCAAGAATTAAAATTCAGAAGTGAGATACAACTCTCCAAAAATTCAGAAGTTTATTTCAAAATATAATATTGCTTTACTTTTTCCTGATATATTTTCAGTTGTTCTGCATATTTCTGGTCTCTCTCTTCAAGTAGCCTTGAATGCTCTTCTTCTTTCTTCATAAATTCTATTTCTCTGGTGAAAGAAATATGTATATATCTATGAAACAGTAATACACAGAAATGTAGAAAAATACATAAAATAGAAATATGCACAACTGCATTTACTAAAAAGCATTCCACTAGTAAATGGAGACAAAAATCAGCCTGTAAGGTATAACTGATTCATTAATCTTGTAATGTCATAAAATGACCTTATAATACATATAAATATGTATTTGTACATATAAAATGTATTTGTATGCTTCTTCTGTCTTCAAAAGAAAATACATATGACTATTATTTACTCTGGGCAGAAAAAGGATGCGTGGCAACACTTTTTCTGCAAAGTTACAACCATCTCTCAACTTTTAAAAGTGGCAAGTTGTATACACATTTAAGCCTGAAATACATGCACAACTCAAATCATTACATCTTACTCTCTTCCACAAAGATACATGCACACACAGTATTTTCCTTCCAAAAGCAATGGTAAAATTCTTTGTAGGAAAATAAATTGCATTTCAAGTTTCTACTTGGTTCATCCTACAGAAATTGTGATGGCTGAGTTTTACAAAAAGAAACAATGACTATGAAAAGGAAACAAAAATAAAAGTTGGTTTTGGCTGCATCATATGGAATGACATATAAAACCAGGAAATAAGCATAAAACATCTACAAAATATGCAAAAGCTTCAGGGACAGTCAAATGAATAATGGGAATTTGCTTAACAGTGAAGAAATGGAAACTAGCATGTTAGCAGTCGTCTTAACGTACTTTTGAACTTCCATGCGGATAAGCTTGGGAGGAGAGGGGAAAGGAGACCTTTAAAAAGATCACCAACCAGCACAAAAATGTACTGTTAAAAGTAACATTTCTGGATGTGGACTACAGAGCAAAAGACCATATAAACTGCCTTTAAAAATAAATAGGAAATAGAGAAACTGGGGACAAGAGAATTATATGTTTACAGTAACTATAAAAAGCAACAGTTGTGTTCTCTATTATCGAGACACATCTACAAATATTTTGCAATTAGCTGTTGTTTAGCTAAGAGGAAAGAAGGTAGAACAATTAGACACAACTGCAGGACAACAGCATTCAAGTCTTATACAGGTGTATCTAATAAGCAATATTACTCCTACTCCAAACCCATTAACAGATTGAAGATACTGTTTTCATGCTGCCATTTTATTGGGCTAGATACACATCCCAAACTCAATTTTTCTCATAATTCCTGTTACTCCCCCTACAAAATATAACTTCTAACTCAGACTGAATCACATGTATCTGACTTTTATTAAATATCCTCTGATGCCTACTCTATCTGGAACATATAAATCAGTCAAAGGGTTTTCCACAAACAGCAAATTTTCCACAAACACCTCATGTCAAATTTCAAGTAGTCCTTCCAAAAGTATAGATGTATTACAGCTTCTCAACTAAGTTGTTTTAAAAAGATTGTAATTGAAATATTAAATAATTGTTCCTAAGGTAAGAATCAAAAGCAACAGCAAAATTTCTGGAGAACCTTTCCAGAAGTCGGTGACTTAAGGTATGGAAGAATTCAGCATTTATAGCCCACTGCTTCCCTAAACTCTGATAAATGAAAACAAAGCACATTAAGCGAATCCTACCCCTGGGTATTGTTGACAGCTTTCCCTATAATGTACAAAACATACAAGCAATAAATAGAGACCTAGTATTTTGGGGTACTTACTTTTGTTGGTAATCTTTAAGCAATTTCTTGGCCTTGCTGTATTTCTTTTCAAGGGCATCACATTGTTCTTGAGTCTCTTTAAGATGCTCATTCACTGTTTTGCATAAATTTTGTGCCTCTAACCAGTAGGTCTCTAACTTTTTAATTTTCTCTTTGCTTTCATCCAAGTTTTGCTGTAGCTGGGCTCGATTAAATTTCCATTCATTTTTTTCAGCTTCAACAATTTTTAACTGAAAAGATTAATACTTAAGGAATTAATCTAAACTAAAAGATGAAATAAAAATCAGTTGCTCATACATGTTTAAGTAGAGAATAGCTAATAACAATTACATACTTATCAGTAATATTAAAACCAGACACAACTGTTAAAGTAATCATGTCAACTCTTCCAACCCTTGCTAATCCAAGCAAGTTTAGCGCTGAAACCCAAGAGCTTTTCACTGCTTCCTCATTGGTATCACTTTTTTTCTAGAGAGATAAAATGAGCAGTACCATTATTGTCAGTTTATATTGTTCCAGATCTCACTATATCTTTAGCTCCAAAGAGTCCTATTTTGAATACCTCCAAAGGCAACCAGAGATAAAGAATAATAACCTGTATAAGACAAGCTCCCTGTCCTACTACTTTGTTACCAACCACTTTTTGAATAATGAAATAATGAGACCAGATGATCTTCCCTGGTATTTTATATGTGACTGGAGTGCCCTGTTGGATGGTTACAGGCTCTTCAGGAGGGATAGGCAGGGCAGAAGAGGCAGAGGCATAGCACTGTATGTAATGAAGGGTTAGGATGTATGGAGCTCACAGTTGGCAATACACAGTTGGGAGCCTCTGGGTAAGAATCAAGGGACAAACAAAAAATGCAGATGTCATTGCGGGAGTCTGCTACAGACCTCCTGTCCAGGATGACGATGCCAACAAATTATTCTCTGAGGAACTGATGGACACTGTCAAATCAACCTGCCCTTGCCCTTATGGGGGACTTCGGCTTGCCAGAAATTAACTGGGAGCATCACACAACTGGTACAACCCGAGCCAGAAGACTCCTAAAAACCTGGATGACAACAGTCCTAAGGGAGCTGACTCAGAAAGATGCCCTCCTTGATCTGCCGCTTGTCAACAGAGGGGATCTTGTCAGTGAAGTGGAGATTGGTGGTCATGTAAAATCTCTGTTGACAGGAGGAAAAGTGACAGTAAAACCTCAACTCTGAACATGATCACAGCAGATTTCAGGCTGCTCAGGGAACTAGTAAGTAAAGTCTCCTGGGAAAACGTTTTTGCAGGTGCTGGGGTCCATCAGTGCTGGTCGCTTTTCAAACTTCACCTCCTAAGGGCACAGGAGCAGCAATTCCCAAATGCTGGAAATCAAGCAGGTCAGGCAGAAGGCTGGCTTGGCTGAGTAGGCATCTCTTCTTGGAAATAAGGCATAAAAGGGAAATGTATGCTCAGTGGAAGCAAGGTCAAGTGACATGGGAAGAACAGAGATTCTGCTTGCCACTGTAGAGAGAAAATTCATGCAGCCAAAGCTCAGCTGGAGTTGCAGCTGCCAGAAATGTTGGGGACGGTAAAAAGAGTTTTTTCAAATATATTAATGGCAATAGGCAGTGTAGAAATATCATTAGTCTGTTACAGTATGAGGATGCTCACCTCCCAAACAGGGACAGAGACAAGGCAGAGGTGTTTAATGTTTTCTTTGCCTCTGTCTTCAACATGGATGATGGACCAAGGGGGTCTCAGTGCCCTGAGCTGGAGGACCATAACTGAGAGAATCATCAGCTCCCAGCCGACTCTGAAATTGTGCAGGATCTGCTGCTCCAGCTGGATCCCTACAAATCTATGGGGCCTGACGGGATTCATCCCAGAATCCTCAAAGAGCTACTGATGTCATTTCAAAGCCCCTCTTGATGATTTTTGAGTGGCCTTGGGAATCTGGATGGGTCCCAGCTGATTGGAAGCTGGTGATTTCCAAGGAGGGCAAGAAGGAGATCCCTGGAAACTACAGGCCTGTCAGTCTCACCTCAGTGCCTGGTAAAGTTATGGAGAAGATTATTCTGGGAGATATTGAAAAAAACATAAAAGACAATGCAGTCATTGGTCACAGCCAGCACGGCTTCATGACAGCAAAGTCCTGCTTATCAAATCTGATTTCCTTTTATGACAGGGTAACCCACCTAGCTGATCCAGAGAAGCCAGCTGATGTCATCTTTTTGGATTTCAGTAAAGCTTTGGATACTGTCTCTCACAGTGTCCTTCTGGACAAACTGTCCAGCACACAGGTGGATAAACACATCATGTGATGGGTGAGCAACTGGCTCACGGGTCGAGCACAGAGGGTAATAGTGAATGGGGTAACATCAGACTGGACACCTGTCACTACTGGGGTGCCACAGGGCTCCATCTTGGGCCCTGTGCTCTTCAACATCTTCATAAAGGACTTGGAGACAGGACTGGAAGGAATATTAAGCAAATTTGGAGATGACACAAAACTGGGAGGAGCTGTTGACTCCCTCGAAGGCCCTGCAGAGAGACCTGGACAAATTAGAGGGCTGGGCAATCACCAACCACATGAAGTTCAACAAGGGAAAGTGTTGGATTCTGCACCTGCAATGAGGCAACCCCAGATGTCCATACAGACTGGGGAATGAGATGCTGGAAAGCAGTGCCATGGAAAGGAACCTGGGAGTCCTGCTCAATGGCAAGCTGAATATGAGTCACCAGTGCCCTGGCAGCCAGGAGGGCAAACTGTGTCCTGAGGGACATCAGGCCCAGCATCACCAGCTGGTCGAGGAAGGGGATTGTCCCACTCTGCTCTGCATTGGGGCGGCCTCACCCTGAATACTGTGTGCAGTTTTGGGCACCACAATATAAGAAAGACATTAAGATACTAGAGAGTGTCCAAAGGAGGGTAACGAAGGTGGTGAAGGGCCTTGAGGGGAAGTCGTGTGAAGAGCAGCTGAGGGCACGTGGTATGTTCAGTTGGAGGAGACTGAGGGGAGACCTCATTGCAGTTACAACTTCCTTGTGAGGGGAAGTAGGGGCAGGCATTGATCTTTTCTCTGTGGTGACCAGTTACAGGACCCCAGGGAATGGCCAGAAGTTGCGTCCAGGAAGGTTTAGGTTGGATATTAAAAAGAGGTTCTTCAATCAGAGGGTGGTTGGATGCTGGAACAGGCTCCCCAGGGAAGTGGTCACAGCACCAAGACTGCCAGAGTTCAAAAGAAGCATTTGGACAATGCTCTCAGCCACATGGTGTGACTCTTGGGGATGGTCCTGTGTAGGGCAAGGAGTTGAACTTGATCCTTACGGGTCTCTTCCAGCTTGGCATGTTCTGTGATTCTGTAACATTGGTCTTCCTAATAAATGATGACATACACATGGTTTGCTTTCCTTGAGCTAATGTACAAAACCACCAAACATTCCCTCGATAAACGAAAGGGATGTCACCCCTTCAGCTGGACAGAAGCCACATTATAAAAGTAAACAGACAAGATACAGCCTAGTTTGTAAGTGTCCTCACTTTTACAATGAAGAAATCACTGCTTTTGAAGCCAGTTAAGATCACCTGCTGATGGAACAGAAATGTTGAAAGACTAAGAATGTCTTGAATTAAAAGTGGGGCTGTAAGCTGTACTAACTAATTATTGCAATCTGAAGCACTATCCCCTCCCCACTTGCTACCTGCTCCCAGCAATGTGCTGCAGCTTGTCCTAAGGTATGCATTTCTGAGCAAGGCAACACAGACAGAAAATGGAATAAAAGAAGCTGCTCTCCCACAAGTAATATTTCCAGAAAAAGGCCACACACAAATCTGCATCAGTGGAAAAAGTAGCAAAAAAGAATGAGAAACCCTTTCTCAGAATAAGCAGAAGCATTGAATGAATCCTCACCAAAAAAAAAAAGCTGAAACAAACTCTCTGCCCAGAGCAGGTCAGAAATTTGAGGACGGAAAGAGGGGAAACAGGATAACAGAAATAACTTTCTGGTAACAGAAAGACAGCCACAAACCATTGTCTGCAAGAACCAAATCTAAACTCAAATTAGCCAAGTTTTATCCAGTGATAATGTTCTCATATTTGTTTAGGAGCTTGTTTCATACAGTACTCCACTATATTCAGCTACTCTACGTAGTAATACTGAATCATTCATTTTGTAATGGCACAGAGGGGATTCTGGGGCCAGGATTTTTTTACTGGTTTGTGTAGGTTTTGTTGTATTTTTTCTTTATTTTTAATTTGAGTGTAGCTCTTCAGCTTAGTCTGTCTAGCACAACACTGGTTCCTAAAGCCTAAATGGATTCTGCCTTCTCCATTCAGCTTATTCCTGGTAAAATCAATAGCCACAGAAATAAGAAAAATCCCAAAGCAAACCACCCAACAAAAAACCACCCAAACAAATAATAAGACTCTTTGAAAACTTACTTTCTCCTTCAATTGATTCACTTCAGCTACTGTTACTGCATGTTTTAATTGCAGCTGAAATAAAGGAAAGAAATTGTATGAGTACAAAAAATTACATTTGAAACGCTAGTTTTAAGAATTTCTCCATGATTCCCTTTTTCTGCAAACCATTTTTATAGTGGCATCAAGTCAACTTAATTATTTATCAATTAAAGAAGTAATCATGAGCTTTTATTAAAAAAAACCACCAAAAACAAACCAAAACTAGCTCAAATTAACCCCCCAAAAAGTTCCACGGTAATCAATACATAACCTCCGATTGTTAAAAATCCCACCTTGTTGTCTACATATTGAGAAAACCGAGGAGATTAAAATAATGTTTCAATGTGCCAGGAAAATGACAAGGCAGCAATGCACTTATGATGACAACTGGTACACAGACTCAAGTAAAAATTTAACAGTACTAAATATTTTTACATTCAGCACTTATAAATAAATGTGCTGGTTTTAAAATTAAACCAGGTAATCTTTATAGGATTATTAGAAATGGAAAAGCTACATGTAAGCCAAATGTAAAGATTTTTTTTAACAAGTATTAATTATTTCTTGTATCTCACTTTCCATCTGTAACCCTGTGGGTTTTTTTTTTTGGCAAGGCATGGTATACCAAACACAATTAAAACTAGGGAATCCACGACTATTCTTCATTTAGATTATGTTAGTAACAGCACAGTAATGATTCTAGATGAGAATATAATTCCATCCCACATAAATATAGCACTTAGCAAAAGACACTGCAGCCTACTATTATGTTTCTTAACCTAGAAAAATTGTAAATGTTCTCTAGAGATCAACAGCCTGCAATTTCTACTTCCTCAATGACATCATCAACATTATCAAGAGAACAAACTTAAAGAGATCTGCAAAACACCAATCCTTCACAAAAATAAGCTGATGTAGCACCAAATGGCATTTGGCAAAACAGTTTCTCTGCAGTATATTTTTCTCCTCCCAGAGAGAAAATGACAGGCACTTAATTCTACCAAAGAAGCCTGGACCCCTAAATGCCAAACGATTGTACCACTTAAATCCCTGACTAAATCCCACAGCCCTAAATAAAGCAAATATGCTCCTTTATAAAAACCTTGGGAAAAGGGAACTATACTATTTCCAATTATATTAAGTTGCAATTCACAGTCTGGAATGCTCTATTGGGTTTGCAAATCCACTACTTCTAAAAAATACACCATTAAAAACACCCTCCAAGCCAAAAACGTGCCTACCTACAGAATCAAGTGCTTTTACGTACACAGAGATTTCCTAGAAGACTGCAGGGACTAAAATGAGAGATTAGATATGTATATCTTGTCTTCCTGAAGGACATCTCACAACAACACTTGAGACCATTCAGAATGGGCATACTTGCCCCCCATGCCCTCCTCTGCAGCTAAAGCCATTCTGCTGTGCAGCAAATACATGCAAAGGGCAATGGGCCAAAGAAGAACTAAGAGAAGCATCCTATCTATCTCATGCAATGTTCAGACATAACATGCACAGAGCGGTGTTGGGTTCTAATGTCTATTTCCAAGGGCTTTTTTAAATTTAATTTAAATCAACAGACCACTTAATGTACATATGCATAGGGAAACTGGGATAAAAAAATAACAGAAGATCTACATTTCAATGGACAAAACAGAAAGATTTGCTGGTGATGTTGGGTAAAAACAAACCCAAAACCATGAGAGGGACATGAGGGACATTATATCCAAGTCCTACAAGGTTCAGATGCTCCCCAGTGCAAAGAATATTCAAGAAACTGCTACAACACCTCTTTAAATTTAAGAAGAGACTCTGCTGAATCCATATCCAGTAGTAAACCAATGTCTTCGTTTTCAGGAAGATCAAAAACTTCTACAGATTTCCCATGTAAATGTGACTCATATGTATCCTCCTCCTCATCATCATAGTCATCATCCTGACAAAATCAAAAAAATGACATTCTGTAATGCACACAAACATTTGCATTATGGTAGCAACAACCAAAGCACACAATCAAGGAATCCAAACAGCTGCAAAACTTTTCTTGACTAATTACTATTCCTTTTTATTTTCTTGCACCTATGATAATGTTAAAGATGAATTGCAAACACCTTCATTACAGTTCCACAAAAGAGAGCAAAGTAAAACATGCACAAAACAATTACACACAGCTGATAGTTAAAAATACATTTTGGATTATCGATAAAGTCAAAATCATGTGCCTGAAGAAAAGTAATATATTAAGTTTGTATTTTCCTGTTTTTAACAAGTTGTCTGTTTTATCCTTTTCTGCTTCAGTTTCATTTAAAAAACCACATTTATTCCATTAGCAGAAGTTATTGTGCGTAGTGGAAATCATGTACTTTTAAAAACATGTAAGTCTGTAGGATGTTTTACCTGCTCTGTATCATCATGAGCGTAGTGCTGCTCATACAGACATCTCTCTTGCTCTAAGGTCTCACTAATGAGACGGGCTACTTCACTCTCAGCCCCTGGCTTCTCTCTCCCAATCAGAAACCTACAGGAGAAAAACAAATTATCTTCCAGCAAAAAATCATTAGATATGCTTAAGAAATGAGTTTGCCATACTGTTGCCTTCCACAGAATCCTTGGAAATTCTTCATATTATGGTTTCGTATTCTCCATGAATGAAAAATGACAAAACCGAAGTGTTATTTCATAAAAAACATACGTACCTCACTGTGCCCTTGGTGTTCTTTAATACAGTGGCTGCAAAGAACTGAGTAACTCCCACCAGACTTATGCCATCAACCTCAACAATCTGATCATTTACTTGAATTCTGCAAAATAAATAAATGGTTAGCTATCAGTTAAATAATAATAATATTTTGGGTTGAAGTATTTCTGACAAACATCACTTAAAACTCACTAGTATTTATAATGACAAATTCTGAGCTCATTGAAATTCATTGCTTAAATACAGTCTCCTGATCCTCAGTTACTATGCAAATCACAAATTAAAATTTACACAGTATTAGACTTGATATCTTTTATACTATTTACACAGTGATTGGTGTCCTGGGGTATTAACACGATTTTGTGGTACTTCTACACAAGGGCTCATGCCAACCTTTTCTTATATATGCTGTAAGCAGATCTACACTTACTTTTCAAAAATGTCCTATAATAAATAATTCCCCATTTTTTAAAAAATTAAGATAAAGCAGGAATGTAATAATCACTCAACTGCATTCAGCTTTTGTACTTTTATTCACAGTATTCAGCATATCTAATAAAAGCAATTGGGATCAGTTACAAATTTGTAAAAAGCATAATCAATTCAATAAAAAAGCTCACCGTCCATCCCTCTGAGCAGCTCCACCATCTGTTATTGTTTTTACAAAAATACCTAGTTTTTCCAGTCCCTGATCAGCACCAACTCCCATTCCAATGATACTGATGCCCAGACCCCTGTCACCTAAGGGATTCAAAAATCTAACATTAGTTGCATGACGCAAAATGTAACAGTTAGCAGTACTGAGTTGTTTCAAAGCATTTCAAGTCCTTCCACACAAAAAACCCCAAAAAACCCCTGAAAAAAGACAACGTATTTTATATTTAGATAGTACTAAGAGCATTTTTGTTCCTAACTTCAATTCAGTATGACAATTTGCACTTAGCAGAGGCCTGTCCAGTTAACATTCACCAAATTCAACAGAAATAGCCACACAATTAAAGCCTAGACAAACATTCAAAAATTCAAGAGCTAAGTTCTGGGAATATAGTTTTAAATGGTTTTATCTTTTGTTCACATAGTATCTATTGCAAATGTTCAAGGTTTGATTTGCACCTTTTTCAATTTCCACAGGAAATACTTCCATCTTTTCCACCCTTTTCTCAAGTTCATACTCAGCTGAGGCTGCCACAGGGTCAACTTCTTCATTACGTCTATCATAGTCTTCATTTGAGTAAGTACTGAAAACCTAAGAAAGGTAACAGAAAACTTTTTTAATGTTTTCTCACCTCCTTTCAAACATCATATAACTGAAAGACAATCATAATCAGTAAGGAAATAAGAGTGGTACTTTCAGAGATCTCATTTTCTAAACAACTATCGGTTTAGTAAATGCTGCTGCTGTCAGATAGTTTTCAACTTGCACAAAAGTAACATTTTAAAAGTTTCAAAACAATTTCATAAACACATTTTGTGTTGTAAATGTACAAAACAGTTAAAAGAAATCAGTTATCTCCTCTTGATACAGTGTGACTTTTTTTTTTTAGGACTACATTCCACCAAATCCTTCCTCTCTTCTTCCCTCCCCCCACACCATCTGCCAATTGCAGTGTTTCAAACAGATGTAGTTTTCTGATTTTGCAAGGGAATCACGCAGTTTCCCAGGAAAAGGAAATGCCTTGCTACATACATTACTATTTTTAGTAATCACTCCAACTGAATTTCTGGATTGTTAAAAATAAAGAGATAAACAAACAACACAAATTAAGGCAGAAATCTACAAAGGAAGAATGAGGTACATGTAACAGGGTTAATTTTAAACATCAGCATGTTCATTGCCTGTATTTAAATTAATAACTTAGAGGAAAAAAGGAAAAATAATATACCACCCCGCTTATCTTTAAAAACAAGGTTTCTCTGCTAAATGTTTTGCAGGCACCGAGTGTTTTATTCAACATCACTGTAAGACAAAAAACAGTTACGGATTGCAGCTGCAGCAGCCATCTCCCTAATCAAGAACATGCAGTGCTGACACAAAGTTCATTTACACTGGCCTACTAAATTTCTGCAATTTTTGTATTTTGCCACTAAGACTACGTAGACAAGTAACTGCAATCATGTAAGTAAGACAACATTAACCGTAATTAACATTTTCCCTGTGAATTTACATTCACTGGTATATGTGTTAGCTCTGCAAGGCAGTAGCCTCAGACACAGAAAAGCAGTTATTGAAACAGGTTATGAAAAAGCAACTAATAGTTACACTATTTCCCATGGGGAGTTACTGCTTTCCCTTCTGACTCCAGCTGGAGATCAGTTTCACACACTCTTCCCAAACCCTGCAAAACATCTACTCCAGAAACGTGGCACGGCCATATAGTCAGTCAAGTAAGCATGATTAGATCCACTAAAGGGAAGGAAGAAGCCCACTTTCAGAAGTCTTGTTTCCCCCAATAAAGGAACTTTAACACAAAAGTTGTTCTTCCTAAATCTTGCATAAAGGTTAATAAACACCTTTTGACTATTTACAGACATCAGTAGGAAACAACCAGACACAACTGGACAACAAGGGTCACACTTACAGCATGTCTTCCATGAACTTTACAGAATAAATCTGCAAAACAGACAAAGAAAACCATCTAAATGGTCTAAAGTACCCTTACTCTATTATTATCAGAAAAAGGTGGCCAAGTTCCCAAGTTCTTTAATCACCCTTCTTAGTCCCCAAATCAGTAAATAGGACATTTCATGAAGCATTATTCTCCCTTTGGAACAAAAACAGTCTAGTTTGCTTCCTTTCTATCCCGATAGAAAAAGCAATCTCTCTAAAAATATAGTCAAGTTATAATAAGATGAATTTTAAACTGATAATAAAAAGGAAGTTCATGAGGGAACAAGTAATAATTTCTTAGTGAGAATATTTGAGTTCTTGAGAACAAATCAAATACCAGGGCACGAAAAATATCAAGTTTGCTTATAAACTAGTATACATATAATCTAGTCTTAATAGTATGACTAAAATGTCAAAGGTCACTAACTGTCAAATGGCTGAATGAGCAAAATGTGGACAATGGCAGGAGTTCATTTGGGAGACAGTGACAACTATATTTTCCTTATTCTTTATAACTCAGTGGTCTAACTCACAAAGCAGAAGATGATGCAAGTAGCCACTATCTACTGCAGAATTACATTACTGCAGGGATGACTAATTCCTTGCACAACAATTTATAAAGCACTAGAAATTTGGGGGAAGCAAAGCTGCACCATAGCAATAGCATTACATATGCTGCAAGTCTTGGGCTACCAGCACTAAAACATTTCTAGAACTTCTAAAAATTATTTATTATTTTTCCAACTTAAAAGTAATAGAACCGTACTTAGGAGTCTCATGGAATTTGCTAATTTTGATATAAAATTGATCATAGGAATTGATCATCTACTGGGAGTGGATAATAGAATTTAAAACTAGTGGTCCCTTAGGTTCCAGTGATGTTTATAATTGTTATTAATAAAACAATAGCACAAACATATCTATGCAAATGAAGACTACTAATATTTATGCATAGTTTTTGCAGCTTTTTAAGTAAAGTTTAGCTGAAATCAATTCTGAATAATTCACTAAGAGAAAGAATTCATACTTTTAAGTAACAGATGAAAGTGTGTGAGAACATTTAGATAATATTCTAAAAACCACAACCTCACAACTAAAAAAAGGTAGCCCCATTTCAAAATGGTAAGAACAATATACCCCCCCCTCCTAACTTCAGACTTTTAAGAAAAACATCACTTCACAAGGAACAGAGGAAAACCAAAACTTATAACCAGAAGCCAAACACTGCAATAACAGAAAGAAAAGCAAAAGAACACTACAAAAACTATGACCAAAGAGTCAAGGGAAAAAGACAGAAATTTTTATTGTGTACATGTGGAATCATAACATGATATTCATCTTTTATGAGACAGAAATGGTAAAAATGTTGTTACTAATATAGAAAATGCAAAACAGCTCAGCAAGTTGTCCTCGCAAAGTAGCAAAAGTAACATTTATACACAGTTAAAATGTGGATAATAAGTAATATAAGTTCACAGTTTAGAAGATTGATGAGAAAGCTAAACATGTTCATCCCTGCACTGTGCCTGGCAGGGTTTAGTCACTGAATCAAATGCATTACAGACAAAAGAAATTCTAATCTTACTATTCAGAAGCCACTGCTAGCCAGAGATCATAAAATTATTAGTGTGCAAGTAGTATTTTTAAAAGATATTATTTAGCAAACACAAGTGATTGTCACGACATAGGAGAAAAGAGATTAATTTTACTGTGGAAACCGTGTGAATTTTACAGGCCTTTTATCATAGCTTGTTATATATCCAGGTTGCCCTAACATTAATAACTTTTGAATCCTGTCAAACTATCTGAAAAAATAATTTCTTTTTACACTCAAGACCTTTTTCCTTCAGAATGAATAAAATTAATTTGAATCAAAAATAGTTCTGTTAGAGGGCTGAATTTTTAAGAATTACTTTAATTAAATTGTTAAGACATATAACTGGAAATTTTCAAATATACTTAGTGCTTGAATATACATATTTATTTGGAGACAGAACAAGCTGCATTCTTTACACCAGGAAAATGAACAAATTTTTGAACATGAACAACTCAGTTTTGCACCTTCTATGAAGATGTTAATATCAACATCATCAAGGTCAGCACTCAACACCAATGCAGCCTACTGTTTAAGAGATCCTACTGTTGAGTTCCTGTAACTACAGAGAACTAAAAATCTCCATTTTATCATCTTAGTGCTACCACAGAAAACAGCATTATCACAGAAAAACAACAACCTCACTTACTTCAAACTCTTCACGGACCATAAAAAGGTCAACTTAAGTACTGTGTTAGTTTTAGAAGAATACTAATTTTGTTAAAGGGTAAACACTAACTTACCATGTGCTTGCATGAAAGTGCTACAGAGTGATGAACCACTGTCCGAAGACCTCCACTGCCACATTCATTTCTAGTATATAGATTTGTTTGTGCCCGATGAAAAGCAGAACATTACAAAAGTAATTAAGCAGTAAGATTAAGAAATCAGGAACTGCCCAGAAGGGTTTTCAACTATTTGGAACAGAAGCAATATCAGCATCATTTTAAAATTCTCATGTAATACTGCAGTATTTGCTGGAAAGCCTCAGAGCACCTGCACAGGCAGCAACACCTGCCAGCTGAGAGAGGCTCTGGAGTGTTACTGACACCCTGGCTGGACTCCACACCCAGCCACGGCTACACCCCTTGCTTCACCTCACTTCTGAAACATGGGGCTCACTTTGAACGGGCAAGTTTACTGACACTCAGTAAAGCCAAATATTCGAAACCCAAGTTACAGCTCAGGGAAAATTATTTAATAGTGAACAGTTTCGGCTTTCCAAATTGATGGCCTTTGTGATGCCTGGCAAAATGCGAAGTGCCCAGGCAAACATGAATAATCATTTGAAAGAGTAGCACTGAAGTAGACCTGAAGCATAATGTACACTCTACAGTTTACTCTTACAGTCTCCCTCTTCTGTTCAAGTAGACATCTCGTTACCACTACCCATTCTTCCCTCTATTTCCAAAAGCTACATGGTATTTTATTACTGCTACTTTTTATATTTTAAATGAAAAGTGTCTATATCTAATTTAAGTCAATTGATGCTATAAAAGCATTACAGAATCGGCACAGAGAAATATCTCGCACACCTTTACTCTTCTTCAAAAAGTTTTCAGAATAGTTAGCAACTGTTGAACAGGTTGGTATACAGGTAGGCTGCACACATTTATGTCTTTGATCTTGCAGCTCTGTATGACTTAAAAGCCCCAGCCAAGTCAATTTACATAAGTGAAACCTTGCTTTGGATCTACAGTACAGACAATTTCATATAGACAATTTAATCATAAATAAACCAGGTTTTTAGCCAAGTTCATTGTTCTCTATCTAATTCTCAATAAAACCAGTAAAATTTTTTCTCTAGTTCCATATTTCATTGCAGGAGCAAAATCACTGGAGCCAGCTAGAGAACAAGACAGCCAATACAGCATCTATTTCAGTCAGGTTATGCTACCTACTCGAGAAGGAGAAATTCTCTCACTTTCAGGTATTTAATTTTTAAATCCCAGTGGAAGAAATGTTGAAACCAGAGAACAGCATCCATTCAGATGCAGAGCACTGATTTTCTTTCATTTCAGACATTCAAAGAAGTTGAGAGAAG